CAGGATGGAAGGGGCAGCCCCAGACCCCAAATCAGCTCTGGGCTGTTCCCAAGGGCTGTCTCCATCACTGCAGCCCCCAGACCCCATAGGGGCAGACCCTACAGGGACAGCCCCCAGACCCTACAGGGACAGCCCCCAGACCCTAAATCAGCTCCGGGCTGTCCCCAAGGGCTGTCCCCATTACTGCAGCCCCCAAATCCAACAGGAGAACCCCCAGACCCTACAGGAGAACCCCCAGACCTTGAACCATCTCTGGGCTATCCCCAAGGGCTGTCTCCATCATTGCAGCCCCCAGACCCCACAGGAGCAGCCCCCAGACCCCATAAGGGTGGTCCCCAGACCCCAAATCAGCTCTGGGCTGTCCCCAAGGGCTGTCCCCATCCCTGCAACCCCCAAATCCTGCAGGGCAGCCCCCAGACCCCAAATCATCTCTGGGCTGTCCCCAAGCGCTGTCCCCATTACTGCAGCCCCCAGACCCTACAGGAGAACCCCCTGACCCCACAGGGGCAGCCCCCAGACCCCAAATCATCTCTGGGCTGTCCCCAAGCGCTGTCCCCATCCCTGCCCTGCTGGCAGAATCCTCCCCCATCCCTCCAGCCCAGCTCTCCCCGCTGGAATTCTGTCTAATTAGTTCAATTCCCTCGCTATTTATAAATCAGCGTGGAAATCCCTCTGCTTTCATTCCCAGCGCTGCCCCTCGCCCCGGCCGGGCTCCTTTAACCAGGGATAAAATCCCGCCGAGGACGAGCCTGGATCGTGAATGATTAATTACCCTAATTGCTCGTTAAGGAACGGGGGAATTCGGGGCAGGTTCGGTCCCTCCTCGGAGCTCCCAGCTCTGCCCTGCAGCTCCTCCACGCCCCATAAATTAATGATCAGCCGCGCTCTAAGTAGGTCTGGAAAGTGGAAAACAACATCCGAGAGGAGCGGCGGAGATTTGTCTGCCTGTCCATCTGCCGGAGGAGCAGGCAGACCCCAATCTGTCCGTCCGTCCGTCCGTCTGTCTGTCCGTCTGCAAATTCCCAGGCTCCTGATGGGTTTGGAGCATCCCCGGGTCCCTGGAGGAGGCAGCAGGGCAGGGGTGGGACCCAGGGTGGGACTGGTGGGCGCTGGTTTGCGCTGGGAGGGGTTGGTGGTGTTGGTTTAGGGGGGAGTTTGGTGATTTCTGGTTTCTGGTGGGTCCCGTGGGCTCCACGCCGGTGTCACCAAATGTCCCCAGGGACACGGGGAGGGAGGGAAAGGGGGGAGCAGGGAAAACTGGGAGATGGGAAAGGTGGGAGGAGGGAAAGGTGGGAAAACTGGGAGCTGGAAAAGGTGGGAAAGCTGGGAGCTGGGAAAATTGTAAAATCTGGGAGCTGGGAAAGCTGGGAAAGCTGAGAGCTGGGAAAACTGGGAGCTGGAAAAGGTGGGAAAACTGGGAATTGGAAAAGGTGGGAGCTGGAAAAGCTGGGTGTTAGGAAAGGTGGGAGCTGGGAAAAATGGGAGCTGGGAAAATGGGAAAAGCAGGGAATTGGGAAAGCTGGGAAAATTGGAAGCTAGGAAAACTGGGAACTGGGAAAGCTGGGAGCTGGGAAAATGGGAAAAGCTGGGAGCTGAAAAGCTGGGAGCTGGGAAAACTGGGAATTGGGAAAACTGGGAGCTGGAAAAGGCGGGAAAGGTGGGAGCTGGAAAAGGTGGGAGATAGAAAAATTGGGAGCAGGAAAAGATGGGACCAGGGAAAACTGGGAGCTGGGAAAGGTGGGAAAACTGGGAATTGGGAAAGGTGGGAGCTGGGAAAATGGGAAAAGCTGGAAGCTGGGAAAACTGGGAGCAGGGAAAATTGGGAATTGGGAAAACTGGGAGCTGGAAAAGGCGGGAAAGGTGGGAGCTAGGAAAACTGGGAATTGGAAAAGGTGGGAGCTGGAAAAGCTGGGTGTTAGGAAAGGTGGGAGATGGAAAAACTGGGAAAATTGGGATCTAGAAAAGCTGGGAGCTAGGAAAAACTGGGAATTGGGAAAGCTGGGAGCTGGGAAAATGGGAAAAGCAGGGAACTGGAAAATCTGGGAGCTGGAAAAACTGGGAGCAGGGAAAATTGGGAGTTGGGAAAACTGGGAGCTGGGAAGACTGGGAAAGCTGGAAGATGGAAAAGGCAGGAGCAGGGAAAGCAGCCGTGGATGTGCCTGGGGACGGCCAGGGCCAGCCCCGGAGCTCCAGAGGCAGCAGATCCGGGCAGGGAGGAGCAGGGAAGGACAGACGGACAGAGGGAGCTGGAAGGACAGACGGACAGAGATGTGCCCTGGAAGGGGAGGATCCACCGGGAATTGGTTACTTATAACCACAGCCCTCACAGGAGAGGATCCGCAGGATGGGATGGGATGGGATGGGATCCATGGGATGGGATGGGATGGGATGGATGGGATGGGATGGGATGGGATGGGATGGGATGGATGGGATGGATGGGATGGATGGGATGGGATGGGATGTGATGGGATGGGATGGGATGGATGGGATGGATGGGATGGATGGGATGGGATGGATGGGATGGGATGGGATGGGATGGGATGGGATGGATGGGATGGGATGGGATGGGATGGATGGGATGGGATGGGATGGGATGGGATGGGATGGATGGGATGGGATGGGATGGGATGGATGGGATGGGATGGGATAGGGACAGGACAGGATGAGACGGGGCAGGGTGTTATGGGACAAGATGAAATGGAGATGGGATGGGATGGGATGGGATGGGGACAGAACAATATGGGACAAGATGAAATGGGAATGGAAGAGAATTGGATGGGGTGGATGGGATGGGATAGGGACGGGATGGGATGGACAGGACAACATGGGACAAAATGAAATGGGAAGGAAGGGGATGGGGATGGGGATGGGGATGGGGATGGGGATGGGATGGGATGGGATAGGGACAGAACAGTATGGGACAAGATGAAATGGGAATGGAACAGAGTTGGATGGGGTGGAACACAATGGAATGGGATGGGAGGGGATGGGATGGGATGGGGCAGGGTGTTATGGGACAAGAAATGGGGATGGCACAGGGACAGGATGGAATGGGATGGGATGGACAGGATGATGTGGGACAAGACGAAATGGGAATGGAAGAGAATTGGATGGGGTGGAACGGGATGGGATGGGATGGGATGGGGTGGGATAGGATGGGATGGCACAGCAGCACAAGGCCTGTTTGCGTTCCAGGATGAAATTAAAGTGGGAAGAGAAGCGTGAATTCACCGTGGGCATCTCCCAAGGCTGAACAGCTCCTGGCACACCAGCAAGTTCTGCCCAGCCCTTTTCCCTCCCCCAGGAACACCAGCCCGGGGCTGTGATTGTGAACAAACACCGCGTGCCCACAACCCCCCGCTCTCCCAGAGCCAGGAACATCCCCGAGCTCCGTTCCCAGCAGGGAACACCCTGCCCCGCTCCCGTGGGGACACTCGCAGCCCTCAGGGCCGGCCCGGCACCCGGCCAAGGGCTCTTTATCAACCGGCACCCAAAAGTCAATCAGGAGGACGCCGCCTGTTTTAATTAACAGCAATTTGGCTCTGCCGGGCGTGAGCAGCGTGCGGGGAGGGAGGGAGGGAGGCCAGAGACAAAACATGACCTTGTTGGTGCTGCGCACACAGCGGGACATTGTTTTCCCCTCTCGGCCTGGCCTTGGAGGCTGCGGGGCTGGTGGCACAGCTGGGCACAGGGGACAGGGGGTGCTGCCAGCCCTGGTGGGAGCAGGGAAAAGCGCAGGAAAAGTGCAGAGCTGGGGATTTGGTGCTTTAGAGCTGTTATCAGGGGATGTTGGAGGCTGGGAATGGGAAAAAAAGGGATTTTGGGAGCTCTCAGTGAATGCAGCACGGGCTGGGCGCTGCAGGGAGTGAATGGCACTGCTGGGTCCTGGCAGGGATCCAGCGCAAACAGCCCGCGAGTTTTATTCCATTTTCCTTTCCTCTCAGCTCTCCTATTCCGGGAAATCAGAGAGGAGGAATCACCCAGAGGGGGAAAACCTCGCTGTGCGTGTGCCAGGCTGCTCAGGGTGGTGACACGGGGTGACACGGCCTGTCCCCACAGCAGGACCTGTCCCCACAGCAGGACACCCCGGGGATGATGGGGCTGGGATGAACAGGACCCTGGAATGAGCAAAAACCTGGGATGAGACACCCTGGGGTGACAAGACCATGGGTTACAACCATGGGGTGACAGGACTGAGGCCACCTGCACCAGGACAGTTCTGGAGGGGACAGGAAGGGGACAAGTGGCACCGTGGGACCGTCCCAGATGTGACAGGGATGGGGTGAGCAGCACCCTAAAGGTGACAGGAATGGGATGAGCAGCACCCCAAGGGTAACAAGGATGGGGTGAACAGGACCCTAAAGGTGACAGGGCCGGGTGAGAGCACCCCAAGTGTGACAGGAATGGGGTGAGAGCACCCCAAGTGTGACAGAGATGGGGTGAGAGCACCCCAGGGGTGACAGGGCTGGGCAAGCAGCACCCCAAATGTGAGAGGAATGGGGTGAGCAGCACCCCAAGGGTGGCAGGGCTGGGTGAGAGCACCCCAAGAATGACAGGGATGGGGTGAGAGCACCCCAAGGGTGACAGGGCAGCACCCCAAGGGTGACAGGGATGGGGGCACGGGCACTGCAGGGGTGACAGGGATTGGGGCAGGGGCAGCCGGGGGTCCTGGAGTTGGGGGGAACAGCACCCCGAGGGTGACAGGGATGGGGTGAACAGGACGCCAGATCTGTCAGGGATGGGCGAGCAGCACCGCGGGGGTGACGGAGCTGCCGTGAGACCCCACCCAGGAACGGGGGTACCCCAACCCCCCCGCCCCGACCCCCGGGGCCGCACCCGCGGGGAGGGGGCTCTGCTCGGGCCAGAACCCCCCGGTGCGGGCGGGGCGGCGGCTCCGTCGCTCTCCCCCCGCCCCCGGGGCGGGCTCGGCCCCGTCCCGCCCCCGCCCCTCGCCTTATCAGCGGCCGGCGGGGGGCTCGCCCCACTCCCGCCCAGCGCAGCCGCCGCGGCGGGGCCGGCAGCTCCCCGAGGCCGCACCATGGGCAGCCAGGGCTCCAAGGCGGCGGGCGGCGACCCCGACACCGCCAAGGCCAACGGGCAGGTGCGTACCGGGGGCACCGGGGGGCTCCGCTCGCTCCGCCGGGACGGGCGGCGGCGCGGACAAAGCGCGGCGGGGAGGGCGCGGCGATGGAGCCGCGATGGAGCCGGGGGAGCCCTGCAGCCGCTCGGGGGGACTCTGCAGCCCCGCGGGTACCGGGGGATGCGGCGCCGCCCGCGCCGCGCCCCGGGCTCCCCCCGGCACCGGGCGGGTCCCGTCCGCCGCCGCCGCCGCCCCGGTAGCGCGAGCGGAGCGCGGGCGCCGCCCGGTGGTGGCGGTCTGGGCCCCCCCACAGCGAGCGGATCCCCCCGTGAGACCCCAACCCGGGCTCTTTGCACCCCCTTTTTGTGGCTCCTTTCCTCGGGGGAGCCCCGCGCTGTGCCCGGTGCTCCCCGTTTCCACCGGCTCCAAACCCCCCTTGTCCCCGTGCTCGGTGCCTCCGTCCCCGTCTCCTTCCCCGCGGTGGATCCCCCTGTGCTCGGTGCCCCCCGTTTTCCCCGGTGGATTCCCCCCGTGCTCGGTGCCCCCCATTCCCGGTGGATTCTCCTCGTTTCCCCCGGTGGATCCCCCCGTGCTCGGTGCCCCCCATTGGATCTCCCCCGTGCTCGGTGCCCCCCGTTTTCCCTTGGGACGCCCTTTGTGGGGTGCGGGGGATTTGGGGAGGGGGCTCGGGGGTCCCGGCGGTTCCTGACGCGCTCCCCCCCCGCAGGAGAACGGCCATGTCATCTCCAACGGGGACATGACGCCCAAGGCGGGGGTCGAGGCTGCCCCCCAGAACGGGAACGGCTCGGCGGAACCCCCCAAGGAGGAGAGCGAGGCCCAAACGGGGGGCGCCGACAGCATCGAGCCCGCCCCGGCCGCCGCCGAGCCCGCCGAGGGCGAAGAAGGGGCCGCGACCCCCAAGGAGGACGCCCCTAAAAAGAAGAAGAAATTCTCCTTCAAGAAACCCTTCAAGCTGAGCGGGATCTCCTTCCGCAAGAACAAGAAGGACGCCGGGGACTCCTCGGGCTCCTCGCCGACCGAGGAGCGGCGCGGCAGCGAGGAGAGCCCGCCCGGGGGGCTGCAGCCCTCGGCGCCCCCCGAGGAGGGGCAGGAGGGCGGGGAAGCCGCGGGCAGCCGGGAGGAGGAGGAGGAGGAGGAGAAACAGCAGCAGCAGCAGGGAGGGGAGAGCCACGGAGACACCGCCAAAGCCGAGGAGCCCTCGAAAGGAGCGGGGCCGGAGCCCGCGGCGAGCCCGGAGGAGCAGAAGGAGGAGTAGAGACCGCTCGGGCACCGTCCTCAGCGGGGACATCCCCGAGCAGCGCGGGGACTCTGACACCGCCCCGACCCTCCCCGAGCAGCGCGGGGACACTGACACCGCCCCGACCCTCCCCGAGCAGCCCGGATCCCCGGATTGTCACCCCTGGGGACTCTGACACCGCCCCGACCCTCCCCGAGCAGCCCGGATCGTTCTTACCGGGGGCTCTCACACCAACCCGGATCCCCGGATCGCCCTCACCGGGGACTCTCACTGCCCTCAGCCCTCCCTGAGCAGCCTGGATCACCCTCGACCCTCTCCGAGCAGCTTGGGGACTCTCACACTGCCCTCGATCCTCCCCGAGCAGCCCTGACCGTCCTCACCGGGGGCTCTCACGCCACCCTCCGTCCTCACGGGGACTCTTAAACCATCCCCGAGCAGCCCGGATCGTTCTTACCGGGGGCTCTCACACCACCCTCGACCCTCCCCGAGCAGCCCCGGATCATTGATCGCCCTCACCGGGGGCTCTCACCGTCCTCGACCCTCCCTGAGCCGCCTGGATCGTTTTTACCGGGGGCTCTCACACCGACTCCGATCCCCCCCGAGCAGCCCGGATCCCCGGATCGCCCTCACCGGGAGCTCTAGCACCGCCCTCCGTCATCACCGGGGACTCTCACACCGCCCAGGACCCTCCCTGAGCAGCCCCGGATCGTTGATCGCCATCACCGGGGGCTCTCACACCGACCCCGACCCTCTCCGAGCAGCCCGGGGACTCTCACACTGCCCAGGAGCCTCACCGGGGACTCTCACGCCACCCTCCGTCCTCACCGGGGGCTCTTAGACCATCCCCGAGCAGCCCGGATCGTTCTTACCGGGGACTCTCACACCGACCCGGATCCCGGATCGCCATCACCGGGGGCTCTCACACCGCCCTCCGTTCTTACCGGGGGCTCTCACACTGCCCGGGACCCTGCCCGAGCAATCCGGATCGTCACCACCGGGGGCTCTCACACCAACCCGGATCCCGGATCTCCATCACCGGGGGCTCTCACACCAACCCGGATCCCGGATCTCCATCACCGGGGGCTCTCACACCAACCCGGGTCATTGATCGCCATCACCGGGGGCTCTCACACCAACCCGGGTCATTGATCGTTTTCCCGGGGTCTCTCTCACCGCCCCCCGTTCTCCCCGTTGTCCCCGGGCCCGTCCCGGCCCCTCCCGCCCCCCGGACTGACCGCACGCCCCGCGCTCCCTCCCCGCCCACCCTCGCTGGGTTTTTCTCTTTCTCTCTCTCCCCCCTTCCCCGTAGAAAACGCTGGTTTGGATTCCCGCCGCCGCCACTTGGAGCAGTTTGAGCTGAATTCTTTGGGAAAATGGAAAAATGGAAAAAAAACCCAACAATAACAACAAAATCAAGCAGCTGGGGAGGAAGGTTTGTCCCGGACGCCTCTGGAGTTACAGTTTAAGAACCCAAATCCTGCTCTGGATCTCTGCAGCCTCCAGACTGTCCCCTCTCCTCTGACTGTTCCATGGGATTTCGGATTCATTTTTTAATTATTTTTTTTACCCTTTTATTTTTTCTCTTTGTTTCTCAGTTCGCATTCCCGGTTCTGGCTTTTCATTTTCGAGTATTTCGTGCTTTTTTTAAATTTTTTTTTTTATTATTTTTTCTCTAGAAATCGATGGTTTTCCAAAAGCTAATCTGGTTCGTTTTTTTTATAATGTCTCCTATTGGCTTAAAACCATAAAGCTTGTAAGTGCGCTGTGTTTAATTCTGCTTTAAGGGATCATTTTAGGGTGTGGGGTGGTCACAGGGGGGCCCTACCAGCTGTAAAATGTGAAGCCAACCTTGTTTATTTCTTTATTTTTTTTCTCTGTGTAAATAATTTTTTTAACGGCAAAAAAAAAAAAAAAAAAAAAAACCAAAAAAAAAAAAGCTTGATTTGCGATTTTCTAACTTGTAAAAAAAATACGAAAATCTTAAGAAAGGACAAAAAAAAAAATTAAAAAAAACCAACCAAACCAGCGAACAAAAGCTGTAAGATTTGAAAGGAATAAATGGTGACCCCTTTTCGGGAGAGCTCGAGTCCTTCTTGTCCTGGCAGTTGCTGATTGAGCGCAGCAGCTGCTGCCTTTAATTAGCGCTCGCTGTTAATTGACCGGCAGCAGATGCAGCCACAAAGGACCTTCCCAACCCATCCCCGCCGCTGCTCAGCTGCCGGCCCTGCGCCTCTTCTCCTCCCAAAGCCTCGATTTTTATTTTATTTCCCCATTCAAAAATTGAAAAGAACTCCATTTTCCCAGAAAAAAAAAAAAAAATTTAATTCATTTTCTTAATTAATTAAATTATTATTATTAATACGTCTTTAAAAAAATTCATTTTCCGAGAAAAAAAATTTTAAAATTTTAATTTTCTTAATGGAGATAATTAAATTACGACTAAAATTTAAAAATTCATTTGCCTAGGAAAAAAAAAACATTAAAAATTCATTTTCTTAATGAAAAGAATTAAATTATGACTAAAATTTAAAAATTCATTTTCCTAGAAAAAAATTGAAAAAAACTTTCATGTTCTTAATGAAAAGAATTAAATTAATATTAAAGTTGAAAAATTCATTTTCCTAGAAAAAAACATTAAAAATTCATTTTCTTAATGAAAATAATTAAATTATTATTAAAATTTTAAAATTCATTTTCCTAGAAAAAAAATTTAAAAATTAATTTTCTTAATGAAAAGAATGAAATTCTTATTAATACATTTTGAAAAAATTCATTTTCCTAGAAAAAAATTGAAAAAAATTTTCATGTTCTTAATGAAAAGAATTAAATTAATATTAAAATTTAAAAATTCATTTGCCTAGAAAAAAAAACATTAAAAATTCATTTTCTTAATGAAAATAATTAAATTATTATTAAAATTTTAAAATTCATTTTCCTAGAAAAAAACATTAAAAATTCATTTTCTTAATGAAAAGAATTAAATTCTTATTAATACATTTAAAAAAAAATTCATTTTCCTAGAAAAAAATTGAAAAAAATTTTCACGTTCTTAATGAAAAGAATTAAATTAATATTAAAATTTAAAAATTCGTTTTCCTAGAAAAAAACATTAAAAATTCATTTTCTTAATGAAAAGAATTCTTATTAACACATTTTAAAAGAAATTCATTTTCCTAGAAAAAAATCGAAAAAATTTAATTCTCTTAATGAAAAGAATTAAATTATTACTAAAGTTGAAAAATTCGTTTTCCTAGAAAAAAAACATTAAAAATTCATTTTCTTAATGAAAAGAATTAAATTATTACTAAAATTTAAAAATTCATTTTCCTAGAAAAAAATTGAAAGAAATTTTCATGTTCTTAATGAAAAGAATTAAATTAATATTAAAATTCAAAAATTCGTTTGCCTAGAGAAAAATTAAAAATTAATTTTAATGAAGATAATTTCATCATTATTATTATTATTATTACTACTACTATTATCATCATTATTATCATTGCTATTACTATGGGGGTTTCACTCAGCGTGAAGCTCCCGATTTAAATCCCGATTTAATTTCAATTTATTCATTTGTTAAAGCGCGGGATCCGCTGGAGCGCAAAGGGCGCGGCCGGGAGCAAAACCAAATCCCCAACAAAGGGAGGAGGAGGAGGAGGCGCCAATGGAGCCTCTGGCCCTGCATTTCCTGCATTCCCTGCATTTCCTGCATTGCCTGCATTCCCTGCATTTCCTGCATTCCCTGCATTTCCTGCATTCCCTGCATTTCCTGCATTTCCCGCATTTCCCTGCATTTCCCGCATTTCCTGCATTCCCTGCATTCCCTGCATTCCCTGCATTTCCCGCATTTCCTGCATTTCCTGCATTTCCCGCATTCCCTGCATTTCCCGCATTTCCCGCATTCCCTGCATTTCCCTGCATTTCCCTGCATTCCCTGCATTTCCCTGCATTTCCCGCATTTCCTGCATTTCCCTGCATTTCCCGCATTTCCTGCATTGCCTGCATTTCCCGCATTCCCTGCATTTCCTGCATTTCCCGCATTCCCTGCATTTCCCTGCATTTCCCTGCATTTCCCGCATTCCCTGCATTCCCTGCATTCCCTGCATTCCCTGCATTCCCTGCATTTCCCTGCATTTCCTGCATTGCCTGCATTCCCTGCATTTCCTGCATTTCCCGCATTCCCTGCATTTCCCGCATTTCCCGCATTTCCTGCATTCCCTGCATTTCCTGCATTTCCCGCATTTCCTGCATTCCCCTGCATTTCCTGCATTCCCTGCATTCCCTGCATTTCCCGCATTCCCTGCATTTCCTGCATTCCCTGCATTCCCTGCATTTCCCTGCATTCCCTGCATTTCCCGCATTCCCTGCATTCCCTGCATTCCCTGCATTTCCCGCATTTCCCGCATTCTGCCCCTTCCCGTTCTTCTCCTCCATTTGGTGCCTTTGCTCCCAAATTTCCCAGCCCCAGCCCCTGATCCTGATGGTTTGGTGGGAGAAAAAGCAGAAAACAACAACAACAACAACAACAACAACAAAATGGAAATAAAATAAATTTCAAAGCGTTGTTTGCACCGCGGTGAAGGGAAGGAGCAGCTGGGCTTCAGGTAGGTGGGGATGTCCAAAAATTCCAATTTTTTGTGCAAGGAGAGCAAAATCAGGGATTTGTTTCCTCATGGGATTCGTTTATTTGAGTAGAAAGGTGAAATAAATGGATTTTTTAGCCAATTTTGAAGGATTTGGGAACATCTGGGCTTGAGGTAGGTGGGAATGTCCAAAAATTCAATTTTTTTGTGCAAGGAAACCAAAAACAGGGATCTGCTCCTCAAATTGATCCATTTATTTGAGTAGAAGGGTGAAATAAATGGGTTTTTTAACTCAATTTTGAAGGCAAACTGGGATTTGGAAGCATCCGGGCTTGAGGTAGGTGGGAATATCCTAAAATTCAATTTTTAATGCAAGGGAACCAAAATCAGGGATCTGCTCCTCAAGTTGATCCATTTATTTGAGTAGCAGTGTGAAATAAATGGATTTTTTAGCCAATTTTGAAGGGGGTTTGGGATTTAGGAGTATCCGGGCTCCAGGTAGGTGGGGATGTCCAAAAATTCAAATTTTTTTGTGCAAAGAAACCAAAATCAGGGATTTGTTTCCTCATGGGATTCGTTTATTTGAGTAGAAAGGTGAAATAAATGGATTTTTTAGCCAATTTTGAAGGATTTGGGAACATCTGGGCTTGAGGTAGGTGGGAATGTCCAAAAATTCCATTTTTTGTGCAAGGGAACCAAAATCAGGGGGATGATTCCCAAATGCATCCATTTCTTTGAGCAGAAGTGTGAAATAAATTGAATTTTTACCCAATTTTAAAGGAATTGGGAGCATCCAGACTCGAGGTAGGTGGGAATATCCATACAAATTCCATTTTTTTGTGCAAGGAAACCAAAATCAGGGATTTGTTTCCTGATGGGATTCATTTATTTGAGCAGAAGGGTGAAATAAATGGATTTTTAACCCAATTTTGAAGGGGGTTTGGGATTTAGGAATATCCAGGCTCCAGGTAGGTGGGAATGTCCAAAAATTCCAAGTTTTTTGCAAGGGAACCGAAATCAAGGATCTGCTTCCCAAATGGATTCAATTATTTGAGCAGAAGTGTGAAATAAATTGAATTTTTAGCCAATTTTGAAGGATTCGGGAGCATCCAGACTCGAGGTAGGTGGGAATATCCATAAAAATTCCAATTTTTTGTGCAAGGGAACCGAAATCAAGGATCTGCTTCCCAAATGGATTCAATTATTTGAGCAGAAGTGTGAAATAAATGGAATTTTTAGCCAATTTGGAAGGATTCGGGAGCCTGGCAGCCGCTTTAGGAAAAGGGAATTCAGGGAGATCCCGCTGGAATTCCGGAGTTTTGTCCCCAAAGGGGAGGATGTCACGGGAGGGAGGGTGGGGCTGCTCCAGCACGCACAAAATTTGCTTTTTTTCACTCCAAAAAGAGCAAATTTGGGGTTTTGTGGCCATTTCGGGTGTGGTGAACGCTCAGCTCCACAATGGAGCTGCTCATAATTAAATAAATTGATTTTATCCTCTTGGATTGTGGATAAAAGCATTGAAATTCAGGCCAAAGATGAATTAAATGCTGAATTTCCCATCATTTATTATTCCCAAATTGCTCCGTTTTAACCACAAAGGGTCAGGGGTCAGGACCCAGCTGGAATTTGGGAATAAAATCACCAAAAAAATCAAAATTCCCCAAAACCCAGCAGGTTTGGAGTTCACTTTTCAAGACAGAGGGAGGATCTTTTTTAAAAAGTCAAATCCCAAAATAATTTACAAAGGAAATAACAATTTCCAAAAGAGATTCAAGGAGTTTTTTAGGTGTAGGATAAATAAATAAATGAAATATTTTGGTGGCTGGAATTAAACCAACATTCCTCAAAGGAGGAGGGAATAATATCTTTTTTATATATATATAATAGAAATATTTATATTTATTTAATATATAATATATAATATATTGCATATTGTATATTATATATTATATAATATAAAAATATACTATGTATAATATATAGTATATAATATATAATAATATATAATATATATTATAATATATAGTATATAATATATAGTATATAATATATACTATATATTATATATTATATAATATAATATTATATAATATATAATACGAAATATATAATACAATATATAATATATAATGTAATATGTAATATGTAATGTAATATATAATGCAATATAATGTAATATAATGTAATGTAATGTAATATAATATAATATAATATAATATAATATATAATATTATATTATATTATATTATTATATATGATAATATAATATAATATAACAATATATAATATAATATAATATAATATAATATAATATAATATAATATAGTATAATATAATATAGTATAATATAGTATAATATAATATGTAATATAATATAGCCTTATTTTTCCTACCTTAATTAATTATTAATGCCTTATTTTTCTTACCTTAATTAATTATTAACGCTTCATTTTTCAAACCTTAATTCCACCTCTCATTTTTTCGTTGGGATCTCCATGAAATCCAAAAAAAAAAAAACCTCTGAAAAGTAATGAATTAATTAAGGAAAAATCAGACCAAGCATAGAAACGGAGCAGTTTTATTACAAAGGTTCTGAAAATCCAAAATATTCTTCTTTAAAAAACCACAAGAGATTTTTTTTTGTTTTTCCCTCCCAGACACAAAGTTACACTGATCTCTCTCTCTTTGTTTCACATAAAAACACCGAAAATTCAGAGTGAAAACCTCACTCAGACCCCAAAGAGACTTCAAAAACTCCACGTGAGAAAGGGGAAAAAAGGGAAAAAAAAAAAGGGAAAAAAAAAGGGAAAAAAAAGAATTAAAAAATCAACCCTTTGCAAAAGAAGCCGGGGGAAGTTTTAGCAGCATTATTGGAGTTGAAACCTCAGCAGTGCAACAGCAAAAAAAATTCCTGTGGAATTGGAAAATTCCAGAATTGCACAGGGATCCCCCTGAGGAAGGAGAGCAGACTGAAAAAAAGGGAAAAAAATTCAAATATTTGGGTTTTTACCGCATGAAAATTGGGGGTTTTTTGGCATTTCTGGCTGTGGAAAAGGGGAGGAAGGGGAGGTGAGGGTGAGGATGGAAATGGGTTGGGATTTATGTACTGGCTTTGGGAGGGAAATTCAGATGGAAAGTTGGGTGAAAAATGAGGGAAAATGAGGGGAAAAATGAGGAAAAATCAGGAAAAAATCGGGGAAATAATCAGGAAAAATCAGGGGGAAAATGAGGAAATAATACAGAAAATAATCAGGAAATAATCAGGAAAATAATCAGGAAAAAATCAGGAAAAAATCAGGGAAAATCAGGGAAAAAAAGAGGAAATAATAAAGAAAATAATCAAGAAATTATCAGGAAAATAATCAGGAAAAAATTAGGAAAATAATCAGGAAAATAATCAGGAAAAATCATTAAAAATTCAGGGGAAAAATCAGGAAAATAATCAGGAAAAATGAGGAAACTAATCAGGAAAATAATCAGGAAAAAAACCAGGGAAAATGAGGAAAATAATCAGGAAAAAATCAGGGAAAAATCAGGGAAAAAAAGAGGAAATAATCAAGAAAATAATCAGGAAATAATCAGGAAAATAATCAGGAAAAAAATGAGGAAAAAATCAGGAAAATTATCAGGGAAAAATCAGGAAAGAATCAGGAAGAAATCAGGCAAAAAATCAGGAAAATAATCATGAAAAATCAGGGAAAAATGAGGAAAATAATCAGGGAAAAATCAGGAAAGTAATCAGGAAACAATCAGGAAAAAATCAGGAAAATAATCAGGGAAAATGGGGAAAAAATGAGGAAAATAATCAGGAAAAAATGAGGAAAATAATCAGGAAAAGAGGGAAAAATCAGAAAAAAATGAGGAAAAAAATGAGGAAAATTATCAGGGAAAAATCAGGAAAATAATCAGGAAAAATGAGGAAAAAATGAGGAAAAATTCAGGAAAATAATCAGGGAAAATGGGGAAAAATGAGGAAAAAATGAGGAAAAAATCAGGAAAAATCATTAAAAATTCAGGGGAAAATCAGGAAAAAATCAGAAAAAAATGAGGAAAAATGAGGAAAAATTCAGGAAAATAATCAGGGAAAATGGGGAAAAATGAGGAAAAAATGAGGAAAAAATCAGGAAAAATCATTAAAAATTCAGGGGAAAATCAGCAAAAAATCAGAAAAAAAATGAGGAAAAAAATGAGGAAAAAATCAGGAAAAATTTGGATTTTTTAGGGACACCCTTGAAGAAAAGATGTCAAAGATGTCAGGAAATAAAAACCAGATAAAAAATCCCAACCCATCCATGGACACTGGATGCAAATCTTGGAAATAACCACCCCTGAGGGTGATTTTATTTTATAATTTTAATTTATTTTCCAGATCTGGGGAGGCTGATTTTATTTTATAATTTTAATTTATTTTCCTTTATTTTATAATTTATTTTCTTTTATTTTATTTTATAATTTTAATTTATTTTCTTTTATTTTATAATTTATTTTCTTTTCTTTTATAATTTTATATTTTCCAGATCTGGGGAGGCTGATTTTTATTTTATAATTTTATATTTTCCAGACCTGGGGAGGGTGATTTTATTTTATAATTTTATATTTTCCAGATCTGGGGAGGATGATTTTATTTTATAATTTTATTTTTTCCAGATCTAGGGAGGGTGATTTTATTTTATAATTTTATATTTTCCAGATCTGGGGAGGATGATTTTATTTTATAATTTTATTTTTTCCAGATCTAGGGAGGGTGATTTTATATTTTCCAGATCTGGGAAGGCTGATTTTTATTTTATAATTTTATATTTTCCAGATCTGGGGAGGGTGATTTTATTTTATAATTTTATATTTTCCAGATCTGGGGAGGCTGATTTTTATTTTATAATTTTATTTTTTCCAGATCTGGGGAGGCTGATTTTATATTTTATAATTTTATATTTTCCAGACTGAGCTCTGGGGCTGATTAATTAAAAAAAAAATACACAAAATAACGAAAAAAAAATTGGATTTTTCAGGTTTTTTTTCAGCTGCTTCATCTCCTTCCCCAAATTCGCTGCAGGAGGAACCAACTGTGTCCAAGAACTGCCCGATTGTGACCCTGAGAAGTGGCACCAGCTGGCAGAATTTTGTTTTATTTTTATTTTTTCTCGCGGCGGAATCCAACTGGAAACCACCAAAGTCTCTCCCAGGCTTCGTTTGGGAATTTTCCCGTTAAAAAAAAAGAGAAAAAATCGAGGGAAAAAGCAAGAATTGATGGCGATTTTCCACCTGACGACGTCGAATGAAATGATTTTTGTTGTTTTTGCAAGGTTGTTTCAGAGGAGGGGAGGGTGGAAGGGATTTTTGGGGGTTTTTGGAAGGGGAGTGGAAGGCAAAGGGTGAAAGTCCCTGGTCAGCAAGGAATAATTTACAGTTCTGCAGCCATTTGTACAATTCTATAGAAATATGTACAGAAAATGTCTAGAAAATGGAAATGCTGGGGTCCAACCCGGCAGCCTCAGGTGGATTTTGGCTCCTCCTTCACCCTGGGGAAGAGAAAAAGAGAAAAATTCGGATTAAATCAATGATTGGGGTTTGGGTGTGACAGCAAGGGTTAAAAGTGGGGCTTGTTTGGTTCATTTTCAGCTAAAATTTCATTTGATTTAAAGAGATTAGAATGTATTATTTTAATAATATATTGAATTATAATATTTATATATTGTATTACATTACATCACATTATATTACATTACATTACATTACATTACATTATATTATTATAGTATTATATTACATTATATTACATTATATTATATTATATTACATTATATTATATTATATTATATTATGTTTTATTACATTATATTATATTATTATAGTATTACATTATATTATATTATTATATTATATTATATTATATATTATATTATATTACATTACATTACATTATATTATATTATATTATTATAGTATTACATTATATTATATTATATTATATTATATTATATTATATTACATTATATTATATTACATTATATTACATTACATTACATTATATTATTATAGTATTATATTACATTATATTACATTATATTATATTATATTACATTATATTATATTATATTATATTATGTTTTATTACATTATATTATATTATTATAGTATTACATTATATTATATTATTATATTATATTATATTATATATTATATTATATTACATTACATTACATTATATTATATTATATTATTATAGTATTACATTATATTATATTATATTATATTATATTATATTATATTATATTATATTACATTATATTATATTACATTATATTACATTACATTACACTATATTATTATAGTATTACATTATATTATATTATATAACATTATATTAAATTACATTACACTATATTATTATATATAATTCATATAATTATATGAATATTTTTAGATATTAATATATATTATATATTGTATATTGCAATGTATATAATACTATAATAGAATATATATAATATTATTATATCTATTGAATGTATAATATATATTATAATGTAATATAATGTAATATAATATAATGTAATGTAATATAATATAATATGATATAATATAATATAATATAATATAATGCAATATAATATAATATAATATAAGGCAATATAATATAATATAATATAATGTAGTATAATGTAATATAATAATATAATATAATATAATATAATATAATATAATACATAATATGTAATATAATATAACAATATAATAAATATATAATATATAATATTATAATAACTAATAATATATTCAATTATATAATGATTTAAATATCTTATTAATTTCATGACTTTTAATTCAATGAATTTAATTATTTTAATTCAGTGAATTTATTTCATTAATTAATATTAATGTCATTCTTATTCATTTATAATTTAACTATTATTAATTATATTTCATATATTAAATATATACATTAATATATTGCTGACAGAAAGAGCAATATTCTGATTTTTCAGCCCTCTCAACACCTGCAACCTTCCAATGAGGAATTTGTGACAAATTCACTCCAAGTGCCACCCAAACTGTCCCATCAGCTCTTCAATGCCCCCAAACCCCTGGGCATGGGCAGTGCCAGGCTGAGCTCCCCAAACCCCCTGGGCATGGGCAGTGCCAGGCTCAATGCCCCCAAACCCGTGGGCATGGGCAGTGCCAGGCTCAATGCCCCCAAACCCCTGGGCATGGGCAGTGCCAGGCTCAATGCCCCCAAACCCATGGGCATGGGCAGTGCCAGGCTCAATGCCCCCAAACCCCCTGGGCATGGGCAGTGCCAGGCTGAGCTCCCAAACCCCTGGGCATGGGCAGTGCCAGGCTGAGCTCCCCAAACCCCTGGGCATGGGCAGTGCCAGGCTCAATGCCCCCAAACCCCCTGGGCACGGGCAGTGCCAGTTTTACCCTTTGGGTTCTGCTGCTGCTGTTGCTGCTGCTGCTTTTTCTTCTTTTGCTTTTTCCTCTTCTTTCTCATCTGGAGAAAAAAAAAAATGAAAATTAAATTAAAGCCACACAGAGGAGGAAAAAATTCAATGGAAGACAAAGAGGGGGAAAAAATTCAATGGAAGACAAAGAGGGGGAAAAAATTCAATGAAGACAGAGAGGAGGAAAAAATTGAATGAAAGGCAGAGGAGGAAAAAATTCAATGAAAGACACAGAGGAGGAAAAAATGAATTTAAAGACACAGAGGAGGAAAAAATTAATTTAATGACACAGAGGAGGAAAAAATTAAATTAAAGCCACAGAGGAGGAAAAAACTCAATGAAAGACACAGAGGAGGAAAAAATTCAATGGAAGACAAAGGAGGAAAAAATTCAATGAAAGCCACAGAGAAGGAAAAAATTAAATGAAAGACAGAGAGGAGGAAAAAATTAATTTAATGACACAGAGGAGGAAAAAATTAATTAAAAGACACAGAGGAGGAAAAAATTGCAGGCAGGAGGGGCAGCCCTGGGGCTCACCTTTCTTCTCCTCCTCCTCCTTCTCCTCCTCTGCCTTCACACGTTTGGCTTTTTTGAAGTTGGCCACGTTCTTGCGGCCGCCCTCGCCCTCGTCCTCGGAGTCAGAGAATTCCTCGTCACAGGAGATTCTCTTGTTGGAGTTCCTGACTGAAAAGGAGAGCACAGATTTTCATCATCAGGAGGTTCCCAGCTTTAATTGTCTGAGTGGAGCTCACAGAAATCAGGATTGCGCTGCGATAAAAGCGATTTTTGTGGTACCTGATGAATTTTTGGGTTCATCCCTTCCCACCTGCTCCAAAATCGTGTGGACAAGTGGGATCAGCACAGTGGGATGGCGCTGCCAAATCTGCCTGCCACACCCCGAGCTGGACAGAAAATTCCATTTTTCACACCCAGGATTCTGCCAAGGATCCTGCCCCAGCCCTCAGGAACTGCCGGAATTCTGCCTTGAAAATCAAAGTTTATCCCACCATGGAAATCACCAGGCAGGAGAGATCCTGCAGTGCCCTGTCCTACCAAAATCCAGCAGGATGTGGGGATGGATTCAAAGCAGAGAGGGTGAAAACCCTGGGGCAGAGCCTGAGGTGAAGCTCCAGCCTCTCCCTGGGGTTTTTGGGGACCCACAAAGCTCCAGCCCAAGGCTTTGACTCTGGATGTCCCCACAAACCAAGGGGGCTCGATCCTTGCATTGAAACCCTACATGCTCCTCATGGAGAGCTCATGGATCCTGCTCAGCTCTGGGCTTTTCCCAGCACAATTCCCAGCAGAATTCCATTCCCATCAGAATTCCATTCCCATCAGAATTCCATTCCCAGCACAATTTCATTCCCAGCACAATTCAATCCCCCAGCACAATTCCTATCAGAATTCCCAGCACAATTCCATCCCCAGCACAATCCCCAGCACAATTCCATTGCCATCAGAATTTCCAGCACCATTCCCAGCACAATCCCATTCCCAGCACAATTCCATCCCCAGCACAATCCCATTCCCAGCACAATCCCATTCTCAGCACAATTCCATCCCCACCACAATTCAATTCCCAACACAATTCCATTCCCAGCACAATTCCACCCCAGCACAATTCCCTTCAGAATTCCCATCAGAATTCCATTCCCAGCACAATTCCATTCCCAGCACAATTCCCACAATTCCCAACACAATTCCATTCCCAGCACAATTTCCAGCACCATTCCATTCCCAGCACAATCCCCATCAGAATTCCCAGCACAATTCCATTCCCAGTACAATCCCCAGCACAATCCCAGCCCAATTTCCACCACAATCCCACCCCAGCACAATTCCATTGCCATCAGAATTTCCAGCACCATTCCCAGCACAATTCCATCCCCAGCACAATCCCAGCACCATCCCCAGCACAATCCCATTCCCAGCACAATTCCATCCCCAGCACAATCCCTATCAGAATTTCCCATCACAATCCCACCCCAGCACAATCCCCAGCACAATTCCATTCCCAGCAGAATTTCCAGCACCATTCCCAGCACAATCCCATTCCCAGCACAATTCCATTCCCAGCACAATTCCATCCCCAGCACAATTCCCATCAGAATTCCCATCAGAATTCCATTCCCAGCACAATTCCATCCCCAGCACAATCCCAGCACCATTCCCAGCACAATCCCATCCCCAGCACAATTCCATTCCCATCAGAATTTCCAGCACCATTCCCAGCACAATCCCATTCCCAGCACAATTCCATCCCCAGCACAATCCCATTCCCAGCACAATTCCATTCCCATCAGAATTTCCAGCACCATCCCCAGCACAATCCCAGCACCATTCCCAGCACAATCCCATTCCCAGCACAATTCCATTCCCATCAGAATTTCCAGCACCATCCCCAGCACAATCCCAGCACCATCCCCAGCACAATCCCATTCCCAGCACAACCCCACCACAATTCCCAGCACAACCCCACCCCAGCACCTACTGGAGATGCGTTTTTCAGGATCATCCTCCTCCTCATCCCCGCTGTCCTCCTGCACAGCATCCTCAGGAATTGGCTGCATCTGCACCCCGGGAGCGTGAGGGAGCATCCTCAGGTTCTCAAAGAGCCTCTGCCTAGAGCCAGCCAGGGAAGGACACTTTGTCACCAGGGGCCACCAAGGCCACCAACCCCCATGGAAGGGTCATCCCCTCAAGACTCACTTGATTTTCTCCAGGTATTCGTTGGTGTTCTGGTTGGTCATGTTGGAGGGGCTGATGTGCAGCTTGAAGTCTGGCCCAAAGTACTCAAAGTAGTCGTTGTATGGAAGTTCTGAGGGGGAAATTAGTGGTAATTAACAGCAGGTTATCAGCAGGATACAGCACTGGGAATCCAAAAGGGATCGTGCACGTCCCTGAGTGTCACAGATATATTTTTATGAAAAATCCTTTTGCTGGGATCTTTTTCTCCTGAGAAGCTGAAATGAAATGTAAACAATGATTATCTGCTGCTGTGGAATGCAACAGGTAAATCTGGGATTGGTCTCATGGGGTAGTTTTTAATTAATGGCCAATCACTGTCCAGCTGTATCAGACTCTGCTCAGTCACAAGATTTTATCTTCCTTTCCTTTCCTTTCCTTTCCTTTCCTTTCCTTTCCTTTCCTTTCCTTTCCTTTCCTTTCCTTTCCTTTCCTTTCCTTCCCTTCCCTTCCCTTCCCTTCCCATGAAATCCTTTCTTCTATTCTTTAGTATAGTTTTAGCATATCATTTTCTTTTAATATAATATATATCATAAAATAATAAATCAGCATTCTGAAACACGGAGTCAAGAATGAGAATCTTTTCTCATCTCTTCCCTTGTTGGGGTTGGCTGCAAATTCTACACCTGAGCTCTTGGAGATGTTCCAGATTTAAAGGCAGGATGGATTCTGTTACCATCTGTGTGGCAGCTGTCTTTTATCAAGTGGGCAGCTTTCCTTATCTCTCTCTGAGTGATCACAATAACTATTCTCTCAGGAGAGGACATTGCTGATAACAGCTATTGAATGTCCCTGCATGGCTGATAAGAACTACAGCATCCCATTGGGAGATGTGAGCCCAGAGGGAGGAGCCAAGCATTCCTACCCGGATAGAATCTGGAGATTACAAACATTCCTACCTGGATATAACCTGGAGATTACAAACATTCCTACCCGGATATAATCTGAGATTTCAAACATTCCTACCCGGATAGAATCCGATATTTCAAACATTCCTACCCGGATATAATCTGAAGATTTCAAACATTCCTACTCAGATATAATCTGGAGATTTCAAACATTCCTACCCGGATATAACCTGGAGATTTCAAACATTCCTACTCAGATATAATCTGAAGATTTCAAACATTCCTACTCAGATATAATCTGGAGATTTCAAACATTCCTACCCGGATATAATCTGGAGATTTCAAACATTCCTACTCAGATATAATCTGGAGATTTCAAACATTCCTACCTGGATATAACCTGGAGATTACAAACATTCCTACCCGGATATAATCTGGAGATTTCAAACATTCCTACCCGGATATAATCTGGAGATTTCAAACATTCCTACCCAGATAGAATCTGAGATTTCAAACATTCCTACCCAGATATAATCTGGAGATTTCAAACATTCCTACCCGGATAGAATCTGGTATTTCAAACATTCCTACCCGGATATAATCTGAGATTTCAAACATTCCTACCCGGATAGAATCTGGAGATTTCAAACATTCCTACCCGGATAGAATCTGGAGATTCTGGAACACCAGCAGGGCTTTTCACCACTGGATTGCCCAGAGGAACAGCAGCTGCCTCTGCCCCTGGATCTTCAGAGGCAGAGACTGCACCTTTCTCCAGGATCCCTGCTCCAGCAGAACCAGCCCTGACACTGCAGGAGGGCTGAGCCACAATTCCAATGGCACTGCTGCCAACAGCCTGACCCACAGGGTGTCCGGTTGGGTTCTGACTCTGGCAGTGCTGGTTCAGTTCACTGCATTGTTTATTTTATCCTTTTATTTTCTTCCCTATTAAAGAACTGTTATTTCCTGCTCCCATATTTTTTGCCTGAGAGCCCCTTAATTTAAAATTTATAGCAATTTGGAGGGAAGGGGGTTAATTTTCTCCATTTCAGGGGATGCTCCTGCCTTCCTTAGCAGCCTCCTGCCTTTCCAAACTGACACAGGGGGTATCAGTGATAGGGGGGGGCTCCAGGGGGGTTTTACCATTGGGGATCTCAGTGTCCAGAGCCACAGCAGTCTCGTAGGTCCAGCAGCGAGCCACGTTCCTGATCGTGTACCCCCCTCCTCCCAGCATCAGCATGGGCAGGTTAAAGCTCTTCACAAACTCCACACACTTGGCATGGCCTGCAGTGCAAAACAAAGGTCACATTCACGGTATAAATGTCAGTGTAAGAGCTGAAATGAGGGACTGCAGGCAGGCCTGGAGTCCTGCATCCCTCATTCAGGTCCTTACTAATGCTGCCCCACGTTGGGCGCCACTGTAAGAGCTGAAATGAGAGATGTGGGACTCCAGGGGCTCTCCAAAATGCAGTTTATTGTATCTAAGAGTTAGAGAGTCCAGGTTTATGGGTGACAGAGCTGTGCCCACAGCTGTCAGCTCCAGCTGCAGGCAGGCCTGGAGACCCTTTGGTTTTGGTCACAATGCATTCTATACTTTTCTTTTGGTCACAATGCATTCTACACTTTTCTTTTGGTAACAATGCATTCTACACTTTTCTTTTGGTTACAATGCATTATTTACTTTTCTTTGCTGAGCATCTTAACACAGCAGAACCAATCTATACCTTAACTTTTATCCATAGCCTATCATAACTACTGTAATTACCATATTCATGGTACTGTTCTCCAATCACTAAAAGTCAGTACATTACAGTTTCAGCTAGAAGATGTTTTTCAGTTTTCTTGCAGTGGAAAATTCTGAGACCTTTTTTCTACTTGACTTGTTTGCCTGTGCTATCTTTGTGCTTGGTAAAAACATCTTCTTGTTTGGGGTGGGTTTATCCATAAAAACCCCTTCTAACTAAGACACCCTTTGCCTCCTTGGTTATCCAGTGAGACTGGCTCAGCAATTCTTTTCTTCTAGATCAAAACTTGCTTCCATCTCTATTCCTTCATCAAACTCTACATTTAAAAATCTTTCTGCTAAGCACACATATCTGTGAGACCTTCCTGCCAAACTTTCATCCTCCCCAACATGCCAGCTTTCCCATGGAATTCCTGCTGAGCAGCAGCTCCTACCTTTGATGGTGAGGTTGAAGCAGCCCAGCCTGTCCCCAGACAGGGAGTCAGAGCCACACTGCAGGACAACAGCGCTGGGCTGGAACGTCTCCATCACCTTGGAGATCACCTAAAAAACAAAGGTTCTGTCACCTCCCTGCCCACAGGCCACTGTCACAGCACACAGTGACAGCCAGGCACATGGAGCCACTTTTGGGGGATCCACAAAGCTCCAGCCCCAAGGCTTTGACTCTGGATGTCCCCACAAACCAAGGGGGCTCGATCCTTGCATTGAAACCCTACATGCTCCTCATGGAGAGCTCATGGATCCTGCTCAGCTCTGGGCTTTTCCCAGCACAATTCCCAGCAGAATTCCATTCCCAGCACAATTCCATTCCCAGTACAATTCCCATCGGAATTCCCAGCACAATTCCATCCCCAGCACAATTCCAATCCCAGCACCATTCCCAGCACCATTCAATTCCAAGCACAATTCCATCCCCAGCAGAATTCCCATCAGAATTTCCAGCAAATTCCATCCCCAGCACAATTCCCAGCACAATTCCATTCTCAGCACAATTCCCACCACAATTCCAATCCCAGCACAATCCCCAGCACAATTCCATCCCCATCACAATTCCAATCCCAGCACCATTCCCATCACAATTCCATCCCCAGCACAATTCCCACCACAATTCCAATCCCAGCACCATTCCCAGCACCATTCCCATCACAATTCCATCCCCAGCACAATTCCCACCACAATTCCAATCCCAGCACCATTCCCAGCACCATTCCCACCACAATTCCATCCCCAGCACCATTCCCAGCACAATCCCCAGCACAATTCCCAGCACAATTCCATCCCCAGCACATTTCAATCCCCAGCCAACACTGGGGCTCCCACACCCAGGAGCTCCCACACAGACCCCGACTGCTCAGTGAAAACAGACCCCTTGGTGAATTTTGTCCCATTAAAAAAAATCCCCAAAAAACTCAATAAAATCCCCCCCAAAATGGCCCTGAGGACAAAGAGGAACCACAGATGATCCCTGAGCAGAGGAAGTTCCACTCACAGGTTTGAAAATGGCTTCGTAGGACTCGTCGTCGATGCCGTCCCGCAGCGGGTAATTCACAGCGTAGTATTTCCCTTTGCCTGCCCCAATGTCCTGTGGGGTGGGAGAGCAGAACAGAGCTCACCAAAAACCCAAATCCTGCCCCAAACTGGGAAAGGAAGCTTGGAGCCCAGTCAAATCCAGAGTAATTAATATTGTTAAATATTAACGATTTACTACCGACACGCACAGCAGCGCGCTGGGCTGGGCAGAGCAGTCACTGAATTTATTCAGTCACTGAATTCTACTTTCAAATCAAAATAAAATAAATAAAAACAAAGAAAAATAAAAAATTCTGCACTAAAATATTATATAGTTTAACATTTATCACTCTCACAGACAAGTGGTTTATTAAAAGTTATTTCATTCATGGTGCAGCACCAAGCTCTTGGTAGGGCTGAAAAATACAAATCCCAAGTGAAAGATTTTATTCAGTCACTGAATTCTACTTTCAAATAAAAACAAAATATTCTGCACTAAAATATTATATATTTTAATGTTTTTATCACACTCATAGCCAAGTGGTTTATAAAAATAGTTATTTCATTTATGGTGCAGCACCAAGCTCTTGGTAGGGCTGAAAAATACAAATCCCATGTAAAAGATTTTATTCAGTTACTGAATTCTATTTTCAAATAAAAATAAAATATTTTGCACTAAAATATTATGTGTTTTAACATTTTTATCATGCTCACAGCCAAGTGGTTTATAAAAATAGTTATTTAATTCATGGTGCAGCACCAAGCTCTTGGTAGGGCTGAAAAATACAAATCCCAAGAGGAAGACTTTATTCAGTCACTGAATTATATTTTCAAATACAAATAAAATAATCTGCACTAAAATATTATATAGTTTAACATTTTATCACTCTCACAGACAAGTGGTTTATAAAAATAGTTATTTCATTTATGGTGCAGCACCAAGCTCTTGGTAGGGCTGAAAAATACAAATCCCAAGTGAAAGATTTTATTCAGTCACTGAAGTCTACTTTCAAATCAAAATAAAATAAATAAAAACAAAGAAAAATAAAAATTTCTGCACTAAAATATTATATAGTTTAACATTTATCACTCTCACAGACAAGTGGTTTATTAAAAGTTATTTCATTCATGGTGCAGCACCAAGCTCTTGGTAGGGCTGAAAAATACAAATCCCAAGTGAAAGATGAGAAGATTTAGATCAAAAATATCACAATTCTTGTAAAAATCCCTTAAGAATAAGAAAAGAACCTTTCACCCCTGAGAACAGAAGTTCTGGTAATGTCACAGTCACAGGTGACACTGAGTCACTGCAGGAAGTGCCAACAAAACTCCACTCCCTCAGAAACCTTCACCAAGAGTTGGTGTCACCAAGCTGGGGCTGCAAAGTGACCAAAATGTCACTTTTGGAGTCATTTTTGTGAGCAAAACCCCACCAGAGAGACTGAGAGCAAAGATTTGGCTTTAAAAAATGATCATCCACACCTTTGCCCTCAGAAAATGGGTGTCAGGGTGGAAAAGCTGGGAAAAAAAAACCCAAAAAGCTGGAAAAAAAACCCCAAAAAAACCCCAAATTTCCTGGGAATTTGGTGGCTCTCACCCTCAGGTCCCCAGTTCCTGGGAAATATTCTCCATATTTGTGGAAGGACACGGTCATGACCCTGTCTGTGGTGTAAAAAGCCTCCTCCACCCCATCCCCGTGGTGGATGTCGATGTCAATGTACAGCACTCGCTGGTGGTACCTGGAAAAAATCAGAATATTTGATTTATTCTGAGGAAAATGTGACTCCAGAGCAGGGAATTCTGGCCAGGATCTACAGGGGAAGGGACAGCAGTGGGACAGAAAATAAAGTGATTTTTGCTGCTGGGTTTCTTTCAGAGTCAGCCAATAAAGAGCATTTTTATGCACATTTTTCTGCCCAAGCCTCCCACAGTGAGGTTTGCCTCGAGCCAGGAGCTGTCACACAGCCATGGGTGGGACAAAGAAAAGCAGGAGAAAAATGTGACATCTAAAAAGCTGCAAAAATCCTCTGCCCCCTGCACTGGTGGAATTCCAAATTCCCTCTTGTATTTCAGGGGGGGCCCTGAGGAGCTGGGATTGATTTATAATCCCCACAATTAGAATTTAATAATTTATAATGAAGGTACTATAATTTATATAATATTTATCATAACATTATATCTATAATAATAGTATAAATATTATAATTATTTCTAGTAAAGTAGATGATTATATTATATAATAATCTGTATTATAATTATGATAATTATATATATTATATATTATATAATACATATTATATCTTTTTCTAAATGTTATGCTATGTAATATTATAGTCTATTATGTTATATTATAGTATATATGATATATTTCTTATATTACATTATATCACATTACATATTATATATTATATAATATATATAATATCATTTTATAAAATGTCATGTCATGACATATTTATTTTATATTATATTATATTATATTATATTATATTATGTCATATATTATATCATATTATACTATATATTATACTATATTATATTACATTATATCATATTACATTATATTATATTACATTACATTATATTATATTATATTATATTATATTATATTACATTATATTATATGATATTATATTATATTATATTATATTATATTACATTACATTATATTACATTATATTACATTACATTACCTTACATTATATTATATTATATTATATTATATTATATTATATTATATTATCTTTTGCATAGTATATAGTATATATCATGTATTATATATCATATATTTTATATATTTTATACATTATACATTATATATTATATTCCCAAAATTTTTGAGGTTTTTTTCCCCCAAAATCCCTTTGGGGAGAGAGGGGATCAGAGCCCAAACAACCAGAAAAAGCCCAGAATAAATGAAAAATGCTGAGGAGAATCCATGAGGAAGAGGAGGCCGAGGGCTGCCCGTACTTGAGGAGCTCCAGGATGGCCAGCACGATGTCGTTGACGTAGCAGAACCCGGAGGCTTCCGATTTCTTGGCGTGGTGGAGCCCTCCCGCCCAGTTCACTGCAATGTCTGTCTGCTGCTTGTTCAGCTTCACTGCACTGGCTGGGGGAGAAAATGCAACACGGGTTAGGGCAGGAGGGGAAAACTTCAAACACAGTCTGGGGTGAAGCTTCAGCTCCTCCTTGGGGTTTTTGGGGGGCTCCCGCTCCAGGGTGCCCCCACAAATCAAGGGGAAATGGGAATATTTCTCATTCCTTCCCACTTTTTCCTCAGAGCAGGAAAATCCCACAAATCCAGCTGGGGTATCACTCGAGACAATTTGGGTTTCTCAGAGCAGAGCAAGGTTTGAAGAGAAAATCTCACACAGGAGGAAATCCCAATTACAAGAAATTAAGGCAGGAGGGAAAAACCTCAAACAGAGCCTGAGGTGAAGCTCCAGCTCCTCCTTGGGGCTTTTGGGAGCTCCACAAACTCCTGGGGGTTTTTGGGGGGTCCTGCTCCAGGGTCTGACTCTGGATGTCCCCACAAACCAAGGGAAAATGGGAAATATTTCACATCCTTTCCCATTTTCCCCTCAGAGCAGGAAAACCCCACAAAGCCAGCACCCAGCTGGGGTCTCTCTGCTTTCTCAGAGCCCTGAACAGAGCAAGGTTTGAGGAGGAAATCCCACACAGGTTAAGGCAGGAGGGAAAAACCTCAAACACAGCCTGAGGTGAAGCTCCAGCTCCTCCCAGGGGTTTTTGAGGGGTTCCTGCTCCAGGGTGCCCCCACAAATCAAGGGGAAATGGGAATATTTCTCATTCCTTCCCACTTTTTCCTCAGAGCAGGAAAATCCCACAAATCCAGCTGGGGTATCACTCGAGACAATCTGGATTTCTCAGAGCAGAGCAAGGTTTGAGGAGGAAATCCCACACAGGAGGAAATCCCAATTACAAGAAATTAAGGCAGGAGGGAAAAACCTCAAACAGAGCCTGAGGTGAAGCTCCAGCTCCTCCTTGGGGCTTTTGGGAGCTCCACAAACTCCTGGGGGTTTTTGGGGGTCCTGCTCCAGGGTCTGACTCTGGATGTCCCCACAAACCAAGGGAAAATGGGAAATATTTCACATCCTTTCCCACTTTTGCCTCAGAGCAGGAAAACCCCAAAAATCAGCACCCAGCTGGGGTCACACTGAGACAATCTGGGTTTCTCAGAGCAGAGCAAGGTTTGAAGAGAAAATCCCACACAGGTTAAGGCAGGAGCGAAAAACCTCAAACACAGCCTGAGGTGAAGCTCCAGCTCCTCCCAGGGGTTTTTGAGGGGTTCCCGCTCCAGGGTGTCCCCACAAATCAAGAGAAAATGGGAAATATTTCTCATCCCTTCCCACTTTTTCCTCAGAGCAGGAAAATCCCACAAATCCAGCTGGGGTCACACGGGAGACTATCTGGGCAAGGTTTGAGGAGGAAATCCCACACAGAAGGAAATCCCAATTACAAGAAATTAAGGCAGGAGGGAAAAACCTCAAACAGAGCCTGAGGTGAAGCTCCAGCTCCTCCCCGGGGTTTTTGGGAGCTCCACAAACCCCTGAGGTTTTTGAGGGGCTCCTGCTCAAGGGTTTGATTCTGAATGTCCCCACAAATCAAGGGAAAATGGGAAATATTTCACATCCACATTTTCCTCAGAGCAGGAAAATCCCACAAACCCAGCTGGGGTCATACTGAGACAATCTGGGTTTCTCAGAGCAGAGCAAGGTTTGAGGAGGAAATCCCACACAGGAGGAAACCCCAATTACAAGAAATTAAGGCAGGAGGGAAAAACCTCAAACAGAGCCTGAGGTGAAGCTCCAGCTCCTCCTTGGGGCTTTTGGGAGCTCCACAAACTCCTGGGGGTTTTTGGGGGTCCTGCTCCAGGGTCTGACTCTGGATGTCCCCACAAACCAAGGGAAAATGGGAAATATTTCACATCCTTTCCCACTTTTGCCTCAGAGCAGGAAAACCCCAAAAATCAGCACCCAGCTGGGGTCACACTGAGACAATCTGGGTTTCTCAGAGCAGAGCAAGGTTTGAGGAGGAAATCCCACACAGGTTAAGGCAGGAGCGAAAAACCTCAAACAGAGCCTGAGGTGAAGCTCCAGCTCCTCCCAGGGGTTTTTGAGGGGCTCCCGCTCCAGGGTGTCCCCACAAATCAAGGGAAAATGGGAAATATTTCTCATCCTTTCCCATTTTCCCCTCAGAGCAGGAAAACCCCACAAAGCCAGCACCCAGCTGGGGTCTCTCTGCTTTCTCAGAGCCCTGAACAGAGCAAGGTTTGAGGAGGAAATCCCAGTTTTGACTGGGAAAAAAGGGTTTGATCCTGGATGTCGCCATAAACCAAAGGAATAGGAAATATTTCTCATCCTTTCCCACTTTCCCCTCAGAGCAGGAAAACCCCACAAAGCCAGCTGGGGTCACTCTGGTTTCTCAGAGCCCTGACCAGAGCAAGGTGTGAGCTGAGCTATGTTCAGCTCATTGAGTGAAAACGCAGCCAGAGGAATTCTCCTCCTCCCCCAGCCCCTCCCACCAACTTTCTGCCCGTCCTGGAGCCTGCCAGGATCCCAAAAATCAGAATTCAGTGGAATTGTGCAGCCCTGGGAGCAGAGAGAGCACAGAGCTGCCCCAGCAGCTGCTGCAGGCACAGGAAATCCAGGCTGGAGGTGTCACTGCCACAGAGCTCTAGGCTGTGACACAAACACAAAACTGTGAGAAAATAAAGAAACATTTCAACGTTCCAGCTCTCAAACCTCTCAGTTTCTGCTTTGCCTCGTGTCCAGAGTTGGTGGTTTTTTAAAAAACAGCACCTCAACCAGCCTGGTTTTTCCTTTTCAGGTTGTGCCTGCTCAGGGTGAGACTTTTACAACTTTTATTTAAATGTAAAGCTCAGGTTGATTTTTTTTTTATGTTGTGGTTTTAACTCTTATTTTTTGTTTTAGCTCTTTTCTTTTTGTTTTAACTCACTGGTGTTGTTACAAAGCCACTCACTCCTTCAGTGAGGTAACCTAAAATAATGATTAATAAATGGGAAAGGATTCAACAGGCAAAGCTTGGGTTTCGTTATTAAATCAGCAATAGAGACAGAGTAGAAAACACAATAAAAAATACAAAAAATTTGTGATCTTACTTTATTAAAATGTAAATGTATTTATTTAAATGTAAATGTATTTATTTAAATGTAAAGCTCAGGTTGATTTTTTTGATGTTGTGGTTTTGTTTTAACTCTTATTTTTTGTTTTAGCTCACTGCTGTTGTTACAGAGCCTTCAGTGAGGTAACCCAAATTAGTGATTAATAAATGGGAAAGGATTCAACAGGCAAAGCTTGGATTCCATTATTAAATCAGCAATAGAGACAGAGTATAAAACACAATAAAAAATACAAAAAATTTGTGATCTTACCAACAGAGCCTCCAGCAGAGAGCTGACAGAACTCAAAGAGCCCATCAAACACAGGGCAGTCCTCCCCTACATTAACTGGAAGAGAATGGAAAAGAACCATTAAAATAAAAGCAACAAAATCAGAATTTTACAAATTTGGATTTGGAAAGTGGCCAGAAGTGTTGAACAAAATGCTGAGATCAAATGATGCAATGGAAATGTGTGGCTGACACTTTGCACACTCCCCTGACTTCGAATCACACAGCTCTGGGTTCTCAGCACAACCGGAGTCTCAGCCTCAATCAATTGTTGCTGTAATTAATTCCACTATCAAAAATAATCACTCATTACAAGAAATTAAACTCCAGGCTCTTTGATTTTACTCTGGCACGCAAAAATGGAATTAGAGACTGCTCATTCCCTTTCCAGCAGGTTTTGTTGAAAAGCTCTGTCCTTTACATGTTTAATTTCCACATTTTGGCTTTTTCAGGAATAAAACCAGCACAGAAAACCCTGAGCACCAGAGAGAGCTGAGTGTTGAAAATTTCAGCTCTGTCCTTTGCATGTTTAATTTTCACATTTTGGTTTTTTTCAGGAATAAAATCAGCACAGAAAAAACCCTGAGAACCACAGAGAGCTGAGTGTGGAAAAGCTCTGTCCTTTACACATTTAATTTTCACATTTTGGCTTTTTCAGGAATAAAAGCAGCACAGAAAAAACCCTGAGAACCACAGAGAGCTGAGTGTTGAAAACCTCTGTCCTTTACATGTTTAATTTCCCCATTTTGGTTTTTTTCAGGAATAAAACCAGCACAGAAAACCCTGAGAACCAGAGAGAGCTGAGTGTTGAAAAGCTCTGTCCTTTACATGTTTAATTTCCACATTTTGGTGTTTTCAGGAATAAAACCAGCACAGAAAACCCTGAGAACCAGAGAGAGCTGAGTGTTCATGAGCTGTGGCTGCTCCAGGGGTAAACAGGTCACTTTGGGTAAAAAATCCATTTTTGCTGGCTGTCATTTGGTGGATTAAAGGATGGGGGGAGGCTTTCAGTGTGTATTAATCACAAACCTTGTGCAGAAATATCTGTGCCCTTCAGCTCCCAGGGGCTTTCCAAGAGTGAAATGTTCTTTAAATGAAGCTTGAGCTCTCCCCACCGGTTGTCAGAAATTTATTTTGCCATAAAAACATCATTCAGATTGGCTGAGACACCAAATCCAGGGTTTGGAACCATTAAAGAGATTTTCCATGGATTGGAGAGAAATTAACCCATAAAATCATCAGATATTGATGAATGTATCACCCTGTCCCTTTCCCCTTTTCAGGCTGACACTGCCCTGAAAATCCTTCAGATTTGGGGTAGAATTGGGGATTTGGGGCTTTTTAATTTGCTGATTTAAAATTTGTTGGTTTTAAAGCAACAAATTTGGGTTTGGGGGCTTTTAATTTGCTGGTTTTAAATTTGTTGGTTTTAAAGCAGCAAATTTGGGTTTGGGGGTTTTTTATTTTGCTGGTTTTAAACCAACTCTCCCCACTGGTTGTCAGAAATTTATTTTGCCATAAAAACATCATTCAGAGTGGCTGAGACACCAAATCCAGGGGTTTGTGCCATTAAAGAGATTTTCCATGGATTGGAAAGGTTGGAACAAGAAATTAACCCATAAAATCATCAGATATTGATGATATCTCACCCTGCCCCTTTCCAAGCTGCCACTGGCTTGAAAATCCTTCAGATTTGGGGAAGAATTGAGGATTTGGGGCTTTTTAATTTGCTGGTTTTAAAGCAACAAATTTGGGTTTGGGGGTTTTTTATTTTGCTGGTTTTAAAGCAACACATTTGGGTTTTGGGGGTTTTTAATTTGATTTAAAATTTGTTGGTTTTAAAGCAACAAATTTGGGTTTGGGGGTTTTTAATTTGCTGGTTAAAAATTTGTTGGTTTTAAAGCAACAAATTTGGGTTTGGGGGCTTTTAATTTGCTGGTTTTAAATTTGTTGGTTTTAAAGCAGCAAATTTGGGTTTGGGGGTTTTTTATTTTGCTGGTTTTAAAGCAACAAATTTGGGTTTTGGGGGTTTTTTATTTTGCTGGTTTAAAATTTGTTGGTTTTAAAGCAACAAATTTGGGTTTGGGGGTTTTTTATTTTGCTGGTTTTAAACCAACTCTTCTGGTTGAAGATGAGCACTGACACAAAATCAACATGGTCAGAAATGGGAAAATTCTGTCATCTCCAAGCCAGGAAAGGAATTTAGGCAACAAAAAAAAAACCCCCAAAACACAACCAGGTCAAAGGATTTCACTCAGCTCCTTTAGCTTGGGAGTGGGATGTGGTTTTAAATTCTTTATTCATCAGAAAAATCCCAAAAAAAGCAAAGCCAGGAGAATGAAAGCTGATAAAAATTTGGGATAAAGTCCCAGGTTTTCACTCACATCTCTGCATCTGCTTGCTGTACTCAGACATGTTGTCAGGGCGGATGGACCTGAGGAATTTGATGTAATCATCACTGTGGTACTTGGTCATCTCCTCTGCGTTGGCCTTGTGGGGACGCTGCAAGGACAGAAACACAGCAAGGGTTGCTTTGGGATTTATTCCCTAATTCCCATTTCTAGTCCCACATTTCCCCCCAGGAACTGGGAAAAGTCTGAATTTGAAAGGCAAGAATGGCATTGTTGGTGAGTGTTACATAGGGAGATGTGGAAATAAATTGAATTTCCAGGATAAAAATCAGTTTTGCCATCTGCAAAGCCTCTCTGAAGAGGAACCCCTCACTTCACACAGAGAAAAAAACAGAAATACATAAAAACAACATGTTGTCAGAGTGGATGGACCTGAGGAATTCGATGTAATCATCACTGTGGTACTTGGTCATCTCCTCTGCATTGGCCTTGTGGGGACCCTGCAAGGACACCAGCACAGCTCTGGGATTTATTCCCTAATTCCCATTTCTAGTCCCACATTTCCCCCCAGGAACTGGGAAAAATCTGAATTTGAAAGGCAAGAATGGCATTGTTGGTGTGGAGATGTGGAAATAAATTGAATTTCCAGGATAAAAATCAGTTTTGCAGCCTGCAAAGCCTCTCTGAAGAGGAACCCCTCACTTCACACAGAGAAAAAAACAGAAATACATAAAAACAACTGAGTGGGGTTTATTCCTTTCCTCCCAGAGAAAAGCTCCACAATTAAAGCCTGAAACACCAATTATGGCATGAAATAATGAGCTTACATAGATCTCCATCTTCCTGTAGAGCCCATAGTTGAGCAGCAGGTTGTGGGTCATGCGGATCCTGTGGGGTTTCATGGGGTGGCCTTGGCCATAATAATAATTCCCAACATCCCCTGCAAGCAGAAAGGAGTTTGTGTCAGCAATTCCTGCACAGGGAACCGTCAGCTCCTCTGGGATTTATTTCTCATCCAGCAGTGGCTGGGATTTCCCACCGGGGAAATCCATGGATTCAGGGTTCATACTGAAACTTGAGACAGGGAATTTGCAATGCCACCAGTGGAAAGGGGCTGGAATTGGGTCAGTGCTGCTGGATCATCTCCCAACCCAACCCATTCCATGGCTCCCAACCCAAACCATTCCATGGCTGTGGCAAAGGAAGATCTCCAGGATTGGCACAGGGAAATCCATGGATTCAGGGTTCCCCCTCAAATTTGACCCAGGGCATTTGGAATGTCACCCTCAAATTTGAGCCAGGGAATTTGGAATGTCACCAGTCCTTGAAAAGGAGCTGGAATTGGATCCAGTGCTGCTAGATCATCTCCCAACCCAAACCATTCCATGGCCACAGAATGTCCAGGATTGGCACAGGGATATCCATGGATTTAGGGTTCATCCTCAAATTTCAGACAGGGAATTTGCAATGCCACCAGTGGAAGGTGTCCCTGCCCTTGGAAAGGGGCTGAAATTTGGATCACTGATGCTGGATCATCTCCCAACCTAGACTATTCCATGGATGTGGGAGTAGAGGAGGAATCTCCAAGATTGGCACAGGGAAATCAATGGATTCAGGGTTCATCCTCAAATTTGACCCAGGGCATTTGGAATGCCACCCTCAAATTTGAGACAGGGAATTTGGAATGTCACCAGTCCTTGGAAAGGGGCTGGAATTGGATCCTTGAGGCTGGACTATGTCCCAACTCAAACCATTCCATGGCTGTGGCAGTGGAGAGGAGGAATCTCCAATATTGGCACAGGGATATCCATGGATTCAGGGCTCCTGCAGAAATCTGAGACAGATTTGGAATTCCATCCTCAAATTTGGGAAAAGAGAATTGGGAATGCCACCAGTCCTTGGGAAGGGGCTGGGATTGGATCCTTGCTGCTGGATCATCTCCCAACCCAAACCATTCCATGGCTGTGGGAGAGGAAGATCTCCAAGATTGGCACAGGGAAATCCATGGATTCAGGGTTCATACTGAAACTTGAGACAGGGAATTTGGAATGGCACCAGTGGAAAGGGGCTGGGATTGGGTCAGTGCTGCTGGATCATCTCCCAGCCCAAACCATTCCATGGCTCCCAACCCAAACCATTCCATGGCTGTGGCAAAGGAAGATCTCCAGGATTGGCACAGGGAAATCCATGGATTCAGGGTTCATACTGAAACTTCAGACAGGGAATTTGCAATGCCACCAGTGGAAAGGGGCTGGGATTGGATCCAGTGCTGCTGGATCATCTCCCAGCCCAAACCATTCCATGGCCACAGAATCTCCAAGACTGGCACAGGGATATCCATGGATTCAGGGCTCTCCCTCAAATTTCAGACAGGGAATTTGGAATGTCACCCTCAAATCTGAGACAGGGAATTTGCAATGCCACCAGTCCTTGGGAAGGGGCTGGACCATCTCCCAGCCCAACCCACGGCATGGCTGTGGCAGTGCAGAGGAGGAACCTCCCAGATCTGGGGTCAGAGGAGCCCAGGGCTCGGTGCCAGGGATGTTCTCCCAGATTTGGGCTCAGTGCCAGGGATGTTCTCCCAGATCTGGGGTCAGAGGAGCCCAGGGCTCGGTGCCAGGGATGCTCTCCCCAAACTGGGGTCAGTGCCAGGGATGTTCTCCCAGATTTGGGCTCAGTGCCAGGGCTGTTTCCCAGATTTGGGCTCAGTCCCAAGGATGTTTCCCATATTTGGGGTCAGTGCTAGGGATGTTCTCCCAAATTTGGGCTCAGAGGAGCCCAGGGCTGTTTCCCAGATTTGGGGTCAGTCCCAGGGCTGTCCCCCAGCTTTGGGGTCAGAGGAGCTCAGGGTCAGTCCCAGGGATGTTCTCCCAGCTTTGGGCTCAGTCCCAAGGATGTTTCCCAGCTTTGGGCTCAGTCCCAGGGATGTTCTCCCAGATTTGGGGTCAGAGGAGCCCAGGGCTCAGGCCCAGGGCTGTCCCCCAGCTTTGGGGTCAGTGTCAGGGATGTCCCCCAGCTTTGAGCTCCGTCCCAGGGCTGTCCCCCAGCTTTGGGCTCACTCCCAGGGCTGTCCCCCAGCTTTGGGCTCCGTCCCAGGGCTGTCCCCCAGCTTTGGGCTCACTCCCAGGGCTGTTTCCCACCTTTGGGCTCAGTGCCTGCTCTCACACCCCCACTCCTCTTCTCACCCTTTTTATCCCTCCCAATCCCCCAGCAATTCTTTTACAGGACCAAAGCCACCTCCCCACATGGATTTCCTGCTCCAAACTGAAAAATTGAGATTTTTACCCCACCTCCTTTCCCTGGGGCACTCATTTCCCTGCAATTCCCCCAAATTTCCCTTTCAGATCCCACATGTGGCTGCAGGGAGCAGCAATCTCTCTGCCCAAGGCTCATTTTCCTGGGCAAGCAGAGCAAGCTGCTCCTGCTCCTGTTGGGAAGCTCCAATCCAGTCTGGCCAGCGACTCAGAGAGCAAAATTAATATTGAAATTAATATTTAAATTAATATTTAAATCAATATTTCATCAGCACAAGCAGCTTTTCCTCCTCTGGAAATTTTCAGGATTTTCAGTGGATCTATTTTCAAAAGATGCCAGAATTGCAAATCCCCCACCCAGGCAAACCTGCTGCTGGAATTTACCTGGCTGTTCTTTCACTAAATATATATTTTTAAAATTAAATATATTTTTCCCATTGAAAATAATTCAAGTTTCTGAAATTTTGCCAATACACTGCCACCTCCAGGGATGGATTTTACCACCTCAAAAATCAAAAATTTGGGGAACTTTCAATAAATATTTCAGGTTTTGCAGGGAAAATAGAAGCAGAGAACTCAGGGAGGCTTTTAAAAATCCCCATTTTAAATGGGCTAAATCTGAGCTCGTGTTCCCTGTGGATCCCTGATTTTTTTTTTTAATTAAATACATTTTTTTTAATTACAAATATTTTTCCCATTGAAAATAATTCAATTTTCTGAAATTTTGCTAATCCACGCTGCCCCTTTCAGGGATGGGTTTTACCACCCCAAAATCAAAAGTCTGGGGAACTTTTAGAAGATATTTGAGGCTCTGAGGAGAAAACAGAACTCAGTGAAGCTTTTAAAAATCCCCATTTTTAATGGGCTAAACCTGAGCTCATGTTCCCTGTGGATCCCTGAATTTTTTTTTAATTAAATACATTTTTCCCCCATTGAAAATAATTCAATTTTCTGAAATTTTGCTCAGGCAGCCCCAAAAGCAGCCAGAGCTGAAGGAGGTTCCTGTACCCACCCCCAGCCTGGCTCCCAAATCCTTTTTGTCCCTCCTGACCCCAAAATTCCATCCCAGGAGTGGCTCATCCTCCTCAGACCCCCTCCCCAAAATCTCCTGCAGCACCCCCTGATCTTCCCCCAGTCCCTAAAATCCTCACATTTCCCCATCCCACCCCTCTGACCTTCCCCTAAATCCTGATTTCCACATCTCCCTGATCTTCCCCCAATTTCCCAAATCCTTCCATTTCCTCATCCCTCTGATTTTCCCCTAAATCCCCAGATCCCATTTCCCCATCCCACCCCCTTGATCTTCCTCCAGATCTCCCCAATTTCCCCATTCCCTGATCTTCCCCCAATCCCAAAATCCCAACATTTCCCCATTCCATCCCCCAGATCTTCCCCCAAATCCCATTTCCTCGTCCCCCTTGATCTTCCTCCAGATCTCCACATTTCCTTATTCCCTGATCTTCCCCCAATTTCCCAAATCCTTCCATTTCCTCATCTCACCCCCTTGATCTTCCCCCAAATCCCAAAATTCTCACATTTCCTCATCCCCCTGATCTTCCCCCAATCCCAAAATCCCAACATTTCCCCATCCCACCCCCTCTGACCTTCCCCTAAATCCTGATTTCCACATTTTCCCATATCCCTGATCTTCCCCCAATTTCCCAAATCCTTCCATTTCCTCATCTCACCCCCCTGATCTTCCCCCTAATCTCTTCATTTCCCCATCTCCCTGATCTTCCCCCAATTTCCCAAATCCCAACATTTCCTCATCCCTCTGATTTTCCCCTAAATCCCCAGATCCCATTTCCCCATCTCACCCCCTTGATCTTCCTCCAGATCTCCCCACTTTCCCCATTCCCTGATCTTCCCCCAATCCCAAACTCCCAACATTTCCCCATCTCACCCCCCTCGATCTTTCCCTAAATTCCCAGATCTCCCCATTTCCTCATCCCCCTGTTCTTCCCCCAATTTTCTCAAATCCTCCCATTTCCCCATCCCACTCCGCTGATCTTCCCCCAAATCCCAAAATCCTCACATTTCCTCATCCCCTGATCTTTCCCCAATCTTCCAAATCCCCACATTTCCTCATCCCATTGCCCTGATCTTCCCCCAAATCCCCACATTTCCCCATTCCCTGTTCTTCCCCCAAATTCCCAGATCTCCCCATTTCTTCACCCCCTTGATCTTCCCCCGATCTCCAAATCCCCCACATTTCCCCATTCCCCCACATCTTCCCCCAAATCCCCAAATTCTCACATTTCCTCATCCCCCTGATCTTTCCCAAACTCCCAGATCTCCTCATTTTTCTATCCCCCTGATCTTGTCCTAAATCCTCACAGTTCCCCATTCCCCTGATCTTCCCCCAAATCCTGATCCCCTCATTTCCCTATCCCCCTGATCTTGCCCTAAATCTCCCAATTTCCCCATCCCACCCTCCGATCTTCCCCCCCCTCACCCCATTCTCCTCCCCAGTGCTCCCCACATCCCTGCCATGCCCCTCAACCCCATTAAAAACCCCACAGCACCCCTGATCTCACACCCTGACCTCCCCTGCCCATCAACACCCCCAATACCCATCCCCACAACCTTTAAACCCCCCCTCACCTCCATGACCCCAAAGATCCCCCATTCCCACCCTCTCCTCCCACCCCCAGCACCCCCATCCTCCCTCAGTGACCCCATTGCCCTCATCCCCCTCCCCATTCCCCCTCAGCGACCCCTCACACCCACCCCCTGCATTCTCCCCCCACCCCTCAACCCCGCCCCCTCAGTCCCCCGCTCCCCCCCGCCCCGGGACGGCTCCCCCGCGGCCCGGCGGCCCCGACGGGTGCCCGCAGCCCCTCACCATCGTAGTAGTAGCAGACTTTGCGCTTCGTGCCCTGCGTCAGCGCCATTTTCCTGCCTCCCCTCACAGCGCCCGACCCGCCGCCGCGCCGCGCAACCAACCCTGCCCGCCCCGGGCCCGCGGCCCCGCCTCCCGGGCTGTTCTGTCCAATCGTAGCTCTTCGTTCCGCCCCCTCCCGCCTGCTGACCAATCGCAAGCCGCAGCCGCACCTAGCAAGTTAGGCTGAGAGCCGGGGGAGCTTGGGCTGTACCACTGTGCGGAGAACAGGGGGGGGGAGGATGTACCATCGCTGAGGGGGGTCCAGGTGGGCGGGGAGGAACCATTCCCTGAGGGGGGGGCGGGGGGCTGAACCATCCCAGGGGAGGGGGGACCCCCGGGCAGGGGGTGGGCGAGGGAGGGTCTGGGAGGGCTCCCAGGGCTCCGGTGGGGTCAGGGGGGTCCCGGGGGTCCCAGGGGCTCCTCGGGGTGTGTTGGTGCGAGTGGGGTCCGTGTACCCCCAATGGGGTCCGTGCGCCGCGGGCATCACCCCACATCCCCCTCCCCATGGCAGCCCGGCCCTGCGAGGCCCCCGCCGTTGCAAACGCCTTTATTTCCCTAAAATTATTGTGAGAGAGGTGCTGCAAACACCTTGGGGGGGAGAGGGAGCGTCCCACAGGCGAGGGGTGCAGTGGGCAGCGCTGCTGAGGGGGCTCCTGCCATCACTGAGGGGTGAGGGGGCACAGGGCGGGCTGAGGGGAGCCCTGAGGGTCTGGGGCCGGGATGTGAGTCCTGAGGGGCCGGAGCCTGGATATAGCCCTGGGAAGAGCAAGGACAGCAGGGTGGGCACCCTCTGGGCACCTCTGCCATCCCTTAGGATTTGGTGGGGTCTGCTCTGACCATCCCCAGGGGGTGAAGGGGGCACAGAGCGGGCTGAGGGGAGCCCTGAGGGGCTGGGGCCTGGATGAGCCCCAGGAAGGGCAGAGACAGCAGGGTGGGCACAGGACAGCCGGGTGGGCACCCTCTGGGCACCTCTGCCATCGCTTAGGATTTGGGGGGTTTGCTCTGCCCATGCCCAGGGGGTGAAGGGGGCACAGAGCGAGCTGAGGGGCTGGAACCTGGATGTGCCCTCAGGGAAGGGCAGGGACAGCAGGGTGGGCACCCTGTGCCATCCCCCGGCCCTTGTGGGTCTGCTCAGCCCCTCCTGAAGGAGTCAAATCTGCTGCTCCCAAGCTCTGGAGCACTGCAAATGTTCACAGAGTTCACCCCCAGGCCGGGGCGGTGTCCATGGGGTCTGTGGGGACCCCCGAGGCTCAGGGCTGCTGCTGGTACTGGCCCTCGGTGGCGGTGAAGAAATCCTCGAGGACGCTCCTGAGGAAGTCGAAGGTGGGGCGCTCCTCGGGGCTCTCCTTCCAGCACTGCCTCATCAGCTCGTACAGCTCGGGCGGGCACTGCTCGGGCTGCGGCATGCGGTACCCGCGCTCCAGGTTCTGGATCACCTCGGGGTTCGTCATGCCTGCAGGGAGGGGAACGGTGTGGGGGTCAGGGTGGGTCACCCCTGTGGTGGGGGTGACATCCTGGGGTTGGTCATCCCTGCCAGGACCCAGTTTTGGTCACAGGAACCACCCCAGAGTTGGTCATCCCTGCCAGGACAATGTCCAGGACCCAGTTTGGGGCACCTCAATGTCACAGAGACCACCCTGGTGTTGGTCACCCCTGCCAGGACCTAGGTTGGGTCACCCCCATGGTGTTGGGTGCCCAACCTGGGGTGCTCCCCAGGCTCAGTCACCTTTGCCAGGACAATGCCCAGGACTCATTTTGGGTGACCCCAGGTTTTAGGGAGCACCCCAGACTCAGTCACCCTTTCCAGGACAACACCCAGGACCCATTTTGGATCACAGGGACCACTCCAGGATTGGTTATTCCTGCCAGGACAATGTCCAGGACCCATTTTGGTTCACCCCAAGTTTTAGGGAGCACCCCAGGCTTGGTCCCCCCGGCCAGGAAAATGCCCAGGACCCACTTAGGGTGGCAGGGACCCCCTTAAGATTGGTCACCCGTACCAGGACAATGCCCAGGACCCAGTTTGGGCCACAGGGACCACTCCAGGATTGGTCATTCCTGCCAGGACAATGCCCAGGACCCATTTTGGGTGGCAGAGACCCCCCCTAAGATTGGTCACCCCTATCAGGACAATGCCCAGGACCCAGTTTAGGTCACCCCAGATTTTAGGGAGCACCCCAGGCTCAGCCACCCTTGGCAGGACAACATCCAGAACCCATTTTGGGCCACAGGGACCACCCCAGGCTTGGCCATTCCTGCCGGGACAATGCCCAGGACCCAATTTGGGTCACAGCTGCCACCCCCCCCTCCCAAACCCCGCACGGGGGCACCTCCCACCCCCTTTCGCCCCCGTAACCCCTCCCCAGGTGGCTCCGGTGCCCGGTGCAGCCCCGCTGGGCAGCGAGCCAGGCTGGCAGCGGCGTGCGTGCAGCGCTGCATGTTCACACACAGACACACACCCACAGACACACAGACACACCCACAGACAGACAGCCACACCCACAGACAGACAGCCACACCCACAGACACACAGACACACCCACAGACACACAGCCACACCCACAGACAGACACACAGACACAGCGAGGGCGTGCCAGCCCCGCAGCCGCCCCAGGACCCCGACCTGGGTAGGGGATGCGGCCGTAGGTGACGATCTCGGTGAGCAGGATGCCGAAGGACCACACGTCCGACTTGATGGTGAACGTGCCGTAGTTGATGGCCTCGGGCGCCGTCCACTTAATGGGGAATTTGGCCCCTGGAAAGCGGAGAAAAGGGAAGGGAGGGGATGAAGAGCCCTGGCTGAGCTGGAATCGCGGCGTTAATCCCGGGGACTGTCCCCAGCCGGGCTCTGTCGCTGCCTGGGGACAGCCTGGCTTTGGTGGCAGCCACACAAAGCAGGAGCCCCCCGCCAGCTGCGGGGAGCGAGATGGAAAAGGGAAAAACATCCTTGAATCCCTCCCCGGAGCTCCAGGGTCCCTGTCCCGATGTCCCCAAGCCCTGTGACAGCTCTTCGGAGCTCCAGGGTCCCTGTCCCCATGTCCCCAAGCCCTGTGACAGCTCTCCGGAGCTCCAGGGTCCCTGTCCCGATGTCCCCAAGCTCTTCGGAGCTCCAGGGTCCCTGTCCCGATGTCCCCAAGCCCTGTGACCCCGGGCAGGGCGGGCTCACCCTCCCGAGCCGTGTACTCGTTGTCCTCGATGAGCCGGGCCAGCCCGAAATCGGCGATTTTGCAGCACAGAGTGTCCGACACCAGGATGTTGGCGGCCCTCAGGTCCCTGTGGATGTAATTCTTGGCCTCGATGAAAGCCATGCCTTCAGCGATCTGGGGTTTGGGATTATTAATGAATTGCTGTCGTTAATCAGCGGCTCCAGCCCCGCAGAGCCGTCCCAGCTCCATCCCCAGCTCTCTGCTCCCCCCTCACCTGAGCTGCCATGTCCAGGAGTTTGTTGATGCTGAGCTTGACTCCTTCCGAGGTCTTGAGGAAATCCACGAGGCTGCCTGAGATGAAAGCGGCAGTTCTCAGCTCCCGGGGGGGTCACAAGGACACTGTCCCCCCAAAAAAACTCTGGGAATGTGGCCAGGAGAACACAGAAAGGGATGGAGGTGGGAGAGAACAAAGGCAAAGCTTCCCCAGGGCTGGAGGCAAAGCAATGTGTAAAATTAACAAATTTCCACATTGCCAATCTTTCATTTTCACAGGTTTTGGAGCCTGCACTGGGAGGTGCTGCAGTCACATCCCTGGAAGGGTTCAAGGAATGACCAGCACAGCGCTGTGGCCCTGCCAGGACAATGGCCAGGACCACCCCAGTCTTGGTCACCCCTTCCAGGACAATGCCCAGGACTCAAATGGGGTCACTCCCAGGTTGTAGGGACCACCCTGGGTTGGTCACCCTTGCCAGAACAATGCCCAGGACCCACTTTGGGTGGCAGAGACACCCCCAGGCTCTGTCACCCCTGCCAGGACAATGCCCAGGACTCAAGTTGGGTGACCCCAGGTTTTAGGGACCAGCCTGGGGTTGGTTATTCCTGCCAGGACAATGCCCAGGACCCAATTTGGGCCACAGGACCCCCCTAAGATTTGTCACCCTTGCCAGGACAATGGCCAGGACCCAATTTGGGTGGCAGGGACCACCCCAGGCTTGGTCATTCCTTCCTGGATAATTGAAGGACTCAGGTTGGGTCACCTCAGGTTTTGGGGACCAGTCCAGGCTTGGCCACCCCTTCCAGGACAATGCTCAGGACCCACTTTGAGTCACCCACAGGTTGTAGGGACCACCCTGGGTTGGTCATCCCAGCCAGGACAATGCCCAGGACCCAGTTTGGGTGGCAAGGACCACCCCAGGCTCTGTCACCCCTGCCAGGACAATGCCCAGGACTTAAACTGGGCCACCCCCAGGTTTTAGGGACCAGCCTAGGCTTGGTCACCATTGCCAGGACAATGCCCAAGACCCACTTTGGGTCACCCACGTGTTGCAGGGACCACCCTGGGGTTGGTCACCCCTGCCAGGACAACGCCCACGACCCAATTTGGGCCACAGGACCCCCCCTAAGATTGGTCACCCTTGCCAGGACAATGGCCAGGACCCAATTTGGGCGGCAGGGACCACCCTAGGCTTGGTCATTCCTTCCTGGATAATTGAAGGACTCAGGTTGGGTCACCCCAGGTTTTGGGGACCACCCCAGGCTCTGTCACCCCTGCCAGGACAATGCCCAGAACCCAATTTGGGCCACAAAGTCCCCCTAAGATTGGTCACCCTTGCCAGGACAATGCCCAGGACACATTTTGGGCCACAGGGACCACCTCAGCCTCTGTCACCCTTCCCAGGACAATGCCCAAAACCCAATTTGGGCCATAGGGACCCCCCTAAGATTGGTCACCCTTGCCAGGACAATGCCCATGACCCACTTTGTGCCACAGGGACCACCCCAGGTTCCGTCACCCTTGCCAGGACAATGCCCAGCGCACATCACTCTGCCAGTTTAAACGGGAATTTTTCCCAGTTTGAACTTTGTCCCAAAGACCTTTCCCAACC